AAAAAAAAATCCAGTGATTTTAGAAGCAAGCTACCAAATCTAGTCAGTTTAGCCTGACTGGTAAATTATGCAGACTTTTGTGAAAAAGCAGAAAAAAAGCATACATGGCTGGGAAAATATGTCAAAACAGAACTACAGTATGAAAAGGAGTATTAAGAAAGGGCACAAATGCCTCTGTCTTAAAGAAAAGCTCATACAGACACACTGATGTTTTTCTAAAATGATGAGTTGAAAAGCTGCGGAAGACACTGACAGTGCCAGTGCTCTGTTCACTGTTATAACAATCCCCATTCATTCCTGCCATCAGTCTTCTTTCTCTTTAATGAGACATTTCAGTCAGCCTTTTCTGCTTTGCTATTAACCCAGCAAACAAGTCCAGGAGATTTTCAAACTATTGCTTTTTGTGCACTTTAACTGTCTGAATTTTTATACTCTTTCACCATTTCACTGAACAACCCTTTCTAGCCAGAGGATAAAGTATGGAAAACGTTGCCCTTGGCTTTCTAACACAGAAGGGAAAGGCAGATACAGGAAATAATTAGTCCAAACTACCTAGGAGTAAAAGTAGGGGCACGAAGTAATCCAAGTATGTCCTGGGATGTACTGAAAATGAAAATTGTGGTAGTTGACAAGCAACAGGATAGAAAATTATTGAGACACACCTGAACATATAGCTGGACACAAACCCAGGATCATCTAGGGGTCATCCCCTAGGCCTTGGAGCCACACAAGGAATCTTTGCTTCCCATAGACTCTTTTGCTTTCTTGTTGCAAACGAGGGAGAGCATATGAGAGCAAGGTACTCACGTGCCATGAGCAGTTTGTGTCAACAAACAGTATTGGTGAGGAAGGAGGCAGGAAAAAGATACTGATGTTGCCTTTCCCACCTTCTGGCTAAACTCTCGAATCAGCCCGTTCAGGCGCAGTCACACCGTGGTGAAACAACCAGCCCTTCTTCAACCACCACATCTTTACTCTGGATTATGGTTGCATGCCGCCCTTGTTGGTTGTATGTCAGTTATGAGGCAACTGGGGCTTACGTCAGAGGATGCCTCTGCATAGTCACCATGTTGGCTAACAAGTTGGCTGTTGAGACATCGAGGACTAAAACCAAAGGATGCAATAACATGAAGTACAGAATTGCACATACCTATCTGGAGCTGTGACAGGCTGAAGCCTTTATAAACCTTAAGCAGTTTTGCCTGCTCAACAGTAGGTTCTATGCACTCACTTTCCTGTGGCCATGACACCTCTCTTCCTATCTCACACCATTCCCTTCTCCTAGAGCAAACTCTTAGCTTACTTTTCTAAGGTAGTTTCCAAACTATCTCATAAAGCTGTAGGGACCTGTACCCAGCCATTCCCTTCTGTTCGCACTTAGCTAACTCTGCTTTACTCAGCATTAACATATATCTTCCTAAATAATGCATAAGCTAATCATTGCTTATATTCCCTTGGACCAGGGGCAAGTAATGAACTCAACACAAATCATTCTAGGTACTGACAGGAGTATAGCAGAATAATGGACTCTATTAATAATGCTAAACCTACTGATCACATGGTAAAATGGCCCTTGTTTGGTATGGGATTGTTTTATGCAAATATTCTGGGGGGAAAACAACAACAACAACAACAACACTGTGGCTCCCACAAAGGAAGCGTGGCAGATATTAATGTTAGTTGGTGACATAAATATAGAGCAGTGTATATGTCAGACTTGGAGTCTTACAAGTATGAGAGACTGAGACATAGCTCTACAGTCTGTATCAGAAGGCTGCTTAACTAAACCTCACAATTCATCCTTGTCCTTTTAAGCTACGTGTTGATTTCAGAACACATCTCTGTCAACACAGACCTGATGATTGTATCTGGAATCCAGGAAAATTAAAAACTTTCCTTTTTTTTTTTATCCAATAGATTATAAAAATGCACATTTGCAAAACATTCTGTTCCTTGCAGAGAATGGGATAGCTGGTAATTAGTCAGCCCTACAGGGAAAGTCTCACAGAGAGGCAAGGCACCACAACTCATGCAGCACTAGATTGACTGTATCCAACCTGTGTAGGAACAGCAACTTCCATTGAGTTCCTGCAGGCATTTAGGCTGCAGCTGTTTGATCCTAAAGTGTGGTGATCAATGATGTAACTCAATAGAAAATTTTTCAGTATGGGACAATGCCACATGCTGCCCCACATTGAATCCCAGAGAAAAAAAAACATGCCTGCATTGATTTGTCACTTTAACTAAGGCACACACAGGCAGGCAAAAGGCTCAAACTGGTGCTTATTAAAGTCAGAGCAAGGCTTTGGGGTATATTTACTATGAGAAATGGAGCAGTGCCACACTGCCTAACCAGCAACCACAAGCCTGGACTTACTTACAAAATCACAGAGCGTAACTAGAGCAAAGGCATAGGCCTGCAGAATGCAGCCCCACTCATAGGGCTATTCCCAGGCTTATAGAAGTTGCCTCCTGTTAAATGTAGGTAGATATAACTGTACTGTTTCCAGAAACAAACTGGCTCAATTTGAACCACGTCAGTACCAAGATCCCCTTCCTGCACTACCCCACACCTCCCAAAACCCAGTAAGCCTTTCAACAGAACATGAGAACCTCTGACTTGCTACTTACGCTGGCACCAGGGATTGAAGAGTATGTAAGTATCAGTTTCTGCGTTTCTGCGTGTTCGGAAGATGCCGAAGGGAGATAAGATAGCAATATACAGGCGAAACTTTCCAATAATGCAGGTGGCAGCGGCCATGACGGACAGGCGAACGGAGTTGTTCTCTTTGTGGATAATCTTGGCCCCCCACTCACCAGGTTTCAGCTCATCACCCACTCTGACTGGGACGTAAGTACCTTTGTTTTGCTGTGGATAGCGGCCTGGAAAGAGAAAGGGATAATTCCATTAACAAATTCACCTTGTTTTAACCATCTCTTCATTTCCCGGCAGACCTCTGTTCCTTTGTCTGTTTTTCCTCTGAGGTGGCCAGTTCTAGCGGGCAGAGACCAGCTGTCTTCGAGTTTCACATAGTGCCTGGTTACTTGACAATATTGCCACAAAAATGCACATAATACCTCTCAGGGGGCAGCCTGTGCAGACATCTCACACCCACCTTGCTCCAGCAAGCTTTAAAGTTTAGGCACTGCCAGGAGTGCAGTCATGGAAGTGCAAGTGTGGGCTGCCCCAGCTTTCCTTGGCTCAGCTCTGTTCATCCATCAACCTTCACTCCAGCTTTTCCCTTACCGTTGTGCAGAGCTACACTTACTGCTGGTAAGTGTGGCCATGAGCCCCTTCCCAAGTTCATACTGATCTGCTACACTCGTTATCATGTAAGCATCCGCATGGGCACAGACATTGGCTGAGAGCTTTGGGTCTCTCTAACAGAGGAGAGTGAAGTTCTTGTCACTGTACTATTGAGTTGACAAGCAGAGAACAACCTCTCCTTCGCACTAGTCTACACAGATGGGTCTGAGAAAATACAAGCCAGTCTGCCAGCAGGTACCCAAAACTTAGTTCTTCGCAAGCACCTCATGGACTAGATAGGTGGAGTATAAATGAGTGCATCTGGTCTAGATAGCCAAACTCTTTGAAAGCAATGGATCATAAAGTACTACTCATCTACAAAATACCACACTATCTTTCAGCAACACTCTATAAAAGCTTACTTTTCTCTGCCAACTGTAAAAAGCATCTAAATGGATAGGCTACATGTAAACATGTACACTGCCAGGATTTATAGCTAGGTGAGAACTATTCCATCCTTTCAGCCTGAGGTAGAGCCAAATTCTATCTGGAACCCAAGCAGTAGTGCAGACAAAATATACCCTTGTGAGAAGGCTGAGTTCCTCACATGATTCTCAAATCTATTCTTCATTTCATATTTTAGTCTGAAAGTCAGACTCTTTCATCCACAGACAGGGATATTAAAACCACAGAGGCAGACACAGAGACAGACTTCTGTATTTTTCATTTCTGCTATTTAAGAATTTCAAAATTAAATGTACAAGGTCATTGATTTTCCTGGTTGCCTATTTTTATACAGCTGATACAGAGATAATCCCAGATTTGAGTATTGCTACATTTTAGGAAAGGACAATTCCAGTTTTGAATCTGAAGGCTGTAAGGTGCTATGACCTATGTGTTTCCATGAAATCCAGGACTACTGGATTTCAACCAGCAGATTATTCAGTGCACATAAATAGTCCTTTTTGCTAAGAAGGCCAGGGATGTTGTAACTCATGATACCAATTCAGATTAGTGAGGCATGCAATAGCAGGAAGAGGCCTACAAAAGAGAAAAAATGACTAGAATGAGAAAGCAAAATCAATAGAAAACACTGGAAGATAAAGCACTGGACACTTCCAAAATAAGCCATCAAAGGAAAGACACGCTAGAGAGAAGAGCCTATATAGGTAACACACACACGAGTCCTGTGTCTGCTAACAATTGGGATCTGAGTGCTGAACATAGTCTTGTACTTTGTAGTGGAATTGGTTATGACCCAGCTTGGCTCTACAGCTGGTATTTTGCTTCTAGTTTTGATATATGATTTTTTTTCTTTTATTTTTTTTCAAAGTTCACAGAAACAAAGCAGTAGAACAAGCCAAGTAATTGAACCAACACCCTTAAAAATTATTGACAAGTGCTACCTTTTAAAACACCCTTCTTAGCTCTCTCAAAAAGGGGTGAGGGAGGGAAAGATTAATATTTTAATGTGGTTATGAGCTGACTTTATCATCGTCACTGGAAGCTACACATCACTGTGGGAGTCCATTGATTGGAGATGGTAGGAACTGTGCTCTGGAGGGGGCCTGCACAAGCACACAAAGCCATGCAAACAGATAGACATGAAATGATAACAAGGAGTCTTCAGAATGACTCCCCATTAAATCTGCCTATAGAAACCAAATATTGTCTCAAAGAGACCATTGGATCTTTGTAAGACATCTTTAATAAAACACCTTCACCTGCACCTCACAGCTGTTTCAGCAAATAATCACACCTGTGGTAGTCTTGCCTTTCTGAGGCCTCACCATGTAAAATCTTACTTACCTTTACAAACTATGAAGGTTCCTCTTGCATTCAAGGCTACAGGACACCCTAATCTATCTTTCATATGACAAGGAAGTGCCTGTAGCTGTCACTGAGGAGTATGCAAGGTCCTTTTGGCCCAGAGCTCTTGCAGGTCCCACAGATGTCTGCATGCAAAAAAGGGAGATAACAGCACCACCTGGCCTACCCAGCAGGTAAAGATGTGCCAGTGTGGGAAGCATGCTGCAAGGATCTCTATCCAAAACAGGAGGCTTGACAGGTCTACAAACTTGACCATGACAGTAGCTCACAGGGCAGCCTTTAGTGATGGGATGTTACCCAAAACATTTTCACCATGCTGGGCTGAGTGCTACTCCTTCTGAATAAGGAAGCTAAATGGACAGACGACTCTGGGATATTGCCCCACTTCAGACTCAGAAGGGATGTCAGGGAAGGGATATGATAGAAGTCAAGATAATTTGCAGATGATCTGAATAAATATAGGAGCCAATGGTGTTGGCGCTGAAGAGGTGAGGAAGGTTCTGGTTGGTCTGCTGGTCTTGCACTAACAGACCTATAAATCCTGAACCCAAAGAGAAGAGACCAAGGAAAATGACAGAGACCTCAAGAGAACAGGCAGTGATTTCTATCATTTTGTTTGAAGAGAGGAGAGGTTTCCCAGTCTTCTGAAATGAAAGCAAAAATGCAAATGAAAGAGCAAGGAAATAGTTACTTCTGACAGAAACTTGTAGAGCTCCTTTGTAATCACACATCTAGACACCTGACAGCACCAGCCACACTAGTCTCATATACACACATTGGTTGTCTTGATACTAGAGCACTAGAAAACAGAGTAACTCTGGCATTACATACTAATGTTACTGGCAAAAAAAAAATCCCTATGTAGGTTCAGCACTATGTTTATTGAAATTGTAGGATAGTCCTTTCAAGATGGTTTGGCCATTTGCCATATTAATTTAATTTACACTTTGAGCACATATTTCTGGCTGCAGTAGGGCCAACTTTGGCTCACAGATGGGATCTCTAATGCCCTTTCTCAGAAGGGATTATATGGAGTGTTGACTGATTTTCTGAGGAAAAAGATTCAATATTATCTAAAAACTCATTACCAAAATCTGTGTCTGGCAGAGCACTCTCTGCAGGCTCTCTGGTGCAGGCAGGAGGGTGTGTTTGGGTGCATTCAAAGACTACGAGTCATGTAGTGAAAGCAAACTCTTTTTATGCTGATAAGCCGGCATCATCAGCTGGCATCATCAGACCCTTGGACTGATTTGCGCCAGCAGTTGGAAGCCTGAACCACATTCTGCAGCCAGCTCTATGCATTTGCCTCATTTCTCGAGGCTCAAGTGTGTTTTGGGTGTAGGAGGTCTTGGCCCTCCATCTTGGGTAAGACTAGATATGAGTGTGTTTTGCAAGAAATGTCTTTGTGGAAGACAAAGCTGTTGTGTGATATCATGCTGCTGGGATTTTCCTATTCAACTCCTCCAAGTACAGCTACTCCTTCCAAGTTACTAATAGGAGACCAGGCCTTGTGCAAATGACATTCTTCCTCTTCCCCTACTACTTCCCCTGAAGATGACTATCTTCAAGCTGATGTCTCAGTTTAGTTTATTTTTTCCTTTGTTTCTTAGCAAACATGTGCATTGTTATATGTGTGTGTGTGTGTGTATTAAATATTATTCAGCCATTGCTGAATGAGTTGCTTTACTGTGCTACCACAGGCAGTAGAGGTTTGAGTGTTTTGGGGTTGGTCATACATAAATCAGTTTACTTTTCCCTTTTGTTTGGAAAAAGGGGAAATTTGCTAGAAAAGAGATAGGAGATGTTCTTCAGAGAACACTTCCTTCCTGATGGAATTAGGATACTTCAGAAGAGAGGGATATCAATAAACCTATTTCTCAATACTCCCTTTAGTAAACTTTATTAGAATATAATTTTAAGGAGTCTAGTCTTGTCTGGTTCCCTTTGGGACAGGAATGACATACAGCTAGGTTAATCATTTTCCTGTTGGGTTCATTTTTTATTTTTTTTTACGTAGATAGATAGACTCTTTCACACACCGGGTAAAGAATTCATTTCCAGTCCAGCCCTAGAAACATAATAGTTGTGACAAGTTGATAAATAAGTTGAAGGTGGAGGCCACAGTACAGTAGATGTATAGCAGAGGTAAGCCTTATTGTAGCAAACAGCCTGGGGATGCGTGTTAGTATACTAGCACTGGGACTATGCCTTATTAATGACTATGAACAATGTCAGCAAACATTTGCAATGGAAGGGAAGGAAACTGTAATAAAATCCAAAAAAAAACAAAGCAAAAGAGAGAGAAAATTTTCTGGAAAAAATAGTTGTGTCTTTAAGCCACTGCTTTAATTTCGTAACTAGTTTTCTCATACCCTCAAATTTCTTTGCCTTCAGAAGTGCTGCATTCAAACATGGAAATGTAGGAAACCCAAATATCTTCGAATGATTTTTGCTCATGGCTCCAGGTAGGAATCCTTAACATCTGATCACACTGTCCCAGGAGTGAATGTTACTAGTACTTTACAGGTGTAATACACACACTGGTATCTTAAATTCTAGTTATTAAAAACATTAAAAGATGCAACTAGATTTTAATTGCCAGTTGATGCTGCTGCAGAAATGAAAAAGAAGAGCAGACTAAAGATTCCTTTACATAAAATACCAAATTCATGGAACATCTTAGAACATTCCCCTCTCAGCTTTTCTAGATTCTGTCTGGGTATTCCAGAGGGGCAGAAAAATAAACTACCGTTCAGGAAGTGAAGAATTTTGTTGTTTTTGCTAACAATTGGTATATACCTTTCTC